TCTCTCTCTCTCTCCCTTTCTTTCTCCCTTCCTTATTTCATCAGCCAAACGTGCTCATATCAAACTCCCAAATAAACAAGTCCACCATCACCATTCACGTGTTTCACCACAGACGTCGCGTGACACCCTGATCGTTTTCAATTTCAAGATTACACTTTACGAYAACGTGCGAACAAGAACTCCTAAACACAAAAAACACCCCACCCTCCCCTCCGTCCATTACRAAAATCTCTTCAAAAAAAATCAAACTCATCCTTGCTATTCGCAAAAGAAAGACTTAACTAAAAAATCCTTACACAGTTTAATTTTATTTCCACTCTCCAAATTTATATATCATGACCTTTCTATTTTAGCGCGACGGATGTGACCGAGCATAGACTCTTACTTCCGGTTTAAAAAGTTTATGTGGGAGTTGGAATCTTCAAAACAAAACAATGAGAGTCTGTTTACGATAAATATACGTGCGTGTGTTCGCCGTCAACGCTGTGAATTAGGTCACGAGATATTTTTACGGCCTTCATTAGAGAAGCCGAATACTTGTCCTTGTTGAGATGGATTAAATACGTAAAGTAAAACGCTGGGAAACGATGAAAACTTAGTCACGCCTGAAGCTTACTATCTTTTCACTGGCGCTTGCGTGAGGGATATATTTGATTTAAAAAAAAAAAAAGATTGTATCGTGTTAAATTACTTCACGGACAGCCGTGCCCCGACAAAGAAAACACCAAGTAACAATTAAATAATCTAAGGATTTCCTAACGAAAAGAATAAGTTTGTTAATCGGATCAAAAACAACACGAAAAACAAGAAAACTCTCCTAAACTACCTCAGCTACAAACAAAAACATGTGGGGAAAGATGAAACGATTTCCCGAAAAATTCGGATAGGAAATTTGTGGGAAACCAGTAGAAAAAGTTGGTGCTGTATTAAGAATATGAAGGTAGATGACTACACAATTTCCAGCACGCCTTGGGCAATGTAACCGCTTAAGTAAGCCAAACATATTTTGAAATTATTGGGTAGAATTCGGATTTCCTTACTGGAAAAGCAAAATTAGTTTATCGTTGTATGTGCAAATTAAAGAAAACCGGTTGAAAACCATGGTTAAAACCCTCATAGAAAACCGGTTTGAAACGGGATAATYTGTCGTTTGAAGACGTTTTTGACGTTGACTCGTGTTCGAGTAAGGGGTGAAATTAAAGAGCTTTCGTCCTATCATCGCCTAGCCCTATCTCCGTCACTTATTATACGTGACAATGCTAAGCATAGAACATAATATCTTCTAGGTCATAGTCTTAATACACGAATTTACTAGAAATTCCAAATAACTCTTCGTGACATCATTGACCTTCACTAGCGTTATTTCCACTTTCAATTAAAGCTGTTTTTAACCACGATTTACGCACACAGTCCCACGTTCGGATTATTTTAGTAAACATGAAAGAAAACGTGGGTAGAACAGGTAGTGAAATCATCTTATTACCTACTATACGAGAAAGCAATTACGCGCGCAAGAGATTCTATGATTTGGGCCGCGCTAAATACGTAAACAAATGGTTCAACTATGGTATCATCCACTTGTATCATTTACCTGTTTTTTCCCCGATGTGATTGGAAAACGTACTGTAGTGTTACTTACAGCTTACACAAGCCATAGCATTGAAATGGCTTTCCATAGGAATGGTTATCGTATGAGTGGGAAACATACGGTACTGACTTACAGCACGTACACGGTACGACATGCCGTAACATTCAAAATGTCTTCCCATCTGAATGGTTTTCGTATGAGGGAGAAACGTACGGCACCGACTTACAGTACGCACACCCCACCACACGCCGCTGTAACATTGAACGGGCTTCCCATTATCTTCCAGTAATTCTTTGAGTAAGCGAGTTATGTGGGGTCTATACCCTAGAAGGGATAGCCACGCAAGCAGACGCAACACCAAGCCAATGAATGTTCTCACTATGAAAAGAATGGACGCAAGCGCAAGAGAACGGAAGATTTTTTCTGCTTTTCTTTTCGTTTGCTTGCACTTGCTTGTTTTGTCGCTAGTGAGAAGCAGGCTTTACAGCTACAGTAAGATAAGACCACAATAAGCCGTTACGAAGTAGCCATATCGTTTCCCACTCGTATAAAAATAACCCTACAGTTCTTACATACGGACCTCTAGTATATGATAACACAGACTGATGAAAACTGACTTGACATRCTGACCTACAGCTTAAAAATAAATAGATTGTTTATTATCCCGGCTGGCCACTTTTTCCCTTGAAGCAAAGRCTTGGCAAATAGCGTGACCGCAAGGATTGGGACACAAGCAAGGAAGGAATCGTGGGTCGTATTCATAATAATCGCTACAAAGGCTTTGTTTCTTTGAAGAGACTCCGTTTTCTTTCTCAACTTGGGAAACTCACTGTGAGTTGGTTTTGAGGTTTTCCTGGTACAGAATTGTTGGAAACCAGAAAGAAAACACTTGATTGCTAGACTCGCTTTGATTAATTAGGAAGCTTACTGTGAGACCGTTGAGGTTTTCCTCCCAGCATCTTTGGAAACCAGAAACAAAAACACTTGTGAGATTCGGTTTTAAGTTGTTATGAAACTAACTGTGAGTTGGTCATTGAGGGTTTCCTCGAACAGAATCGGTGGAAACCAGAGAGAAAAACATTTGCTATATTCGCTTTAATTTATTGGGAAACTAACTGTGAGTTGGTTTGAGGTTTTCCTTGTACAGATTCGGTGGAAACCAGAGAGAAAAACACGTACTATATTCCTTTGAGGTTTTCCTCGAACAGAATCGGTGGACACCAGAGAGAAAAACACGTACTATATTCCCTTTAAGTTATTAGAAAACTCGATGTAAGAAGACCTATTAAGCCATTGAGGTTTTCCTCCAACAGAATCGTTGGAAACCAGATAGAAAAACAATTGCTATGTTCACTTTAAGTTAATAGGAAGCTCGCTGGAAGAAGCCATTAAAGTCTTCCTCGAACAAAGCCTTCGAAACCAGAAAGTTGAACGCTTTTAAGATTCATATCAAGATTATCTTGTACGAGTATCTTGTTCGAGTTACAGGGCCCGGTTGTACAAAGGGAGGATAGCGCTTTCCGACGGATAAATCTTATTCAGGGGATAAAATTATTGGATAACAGCATCGACTTATCCACTGGATAAGGATTTCTCCGCCGGATAGTGCTATCCAGGCTTCGTACAACCGGGCCCAGATATATAAGAAATTTACGGCTAATGCAAGAAGCTCTTGGGGTGGAATTTCTTCCTTGAACTTTATTTCTCATATACACAAGACATATTTCCAAGATACAGTCTATTTCGTCCCCTATAACAGCCCCAAAACTCACTGCAATGTTAACCCGATCCACTTTTTCCTTCAACCTCGGAATCAGTAATAAAGACACGAGTATTTCGCAAGGACTTTTCATTTGAATTATATACGACAAGCGTCTGTGTGATACACCTTTGTGTGCTGCTTCACGCGGATACCATTTCGAGCAAAGTTTTTGGACGTATTTTCCTCCGTGCGCAATAATATATCTTTAAGATATTTTTTCACGGTCTGTTATACTAAATATCGTGCGTTCTAGTATACGCCCAGGCAGGCAGTATTTTCTATATCTGTCCGCGGTCAAGTATCTTTAGATTTTGCAAGAAAGAAATTGTTGCGCAAAGTCTAGAATCGGATAGCCTGATTTTGATATGGGCGCGTAACGCGATGATTAGTAGGGACGGGTTTCCTGTGTCAAATCAAGCCCCACACAGTGAGCACTGTGAGCCATTTCCTTATTTGAATTTCCCCCACTCCGTCTCGCTAAACATAATTTTTTCTAGGAAAAAAATCCCGAGCTCCACGCAAACATTTGCTTGAAGAAACATATTATTAAACTTCTTGTTATGTTTTTGCAGAGGTAGGATAACACGAAGAAGCCCCCGGAGGAAATCCATTGAATCAAGGGAGATACCTAACAAATTCTACTCACATGTGATGTTGGGTCCGGGAATCAAACCTGAGATCCCAGAAGCCAGAGGCGAGTGTATTACCGCATACATCATCCTTATTTCCTTATAACGACAATAATATATTCCTTTGTTAATTATTTATAGGGGGGGGGGGGGGGGGGGGAATCTTGAAATGACCTTGGAAATTTAAATGCAGTTGACTCCTGACGATATCTTTCCTTTTACCTTCGCTTCGGTTTTCATAGTGGGGGAGTTTGAATATCACTTGCGACAGGGCGGATGAGTAGTTTCGTTGCAAGGGGCCTATTAGTTCAACTGATAACCAACTGGTGATTGTAGCCATATCCGTGGTTTAGCGGTGTATAGAAGGATAAATTATTACCGATTTTCAAAAAATAAAGAACAAGAAAAAAGATACTAAAAATAAAAAATGCCGGGTAATGAAAAACGTATCTACCTGTTTCAACTATTGTATCTCATTGCGCATGCGTTCGTTGTGGTTCACTGAAAAAATGTGCGCTGGTCGGTGATTGAAGGGCGGGTCGGAGATCAGTGGGTGTTCGGACTACTACAGGTGGGTCATTATATTCCGTTTTGGTTTATAATTTCATTTGATATTCATACAACTTGCTCGAACGACATGTACACTCACATGAGCGCATTGATAAAAAATTTTAACTAAAAAATTCAACAAAGAAAAATAATTGCATAACTTGAGGCCATTGAATAGTCTGAAGTTTCAAGTTGGTCAAATTTTTTTCCAACGCGAAAAATAGAAAGATCTATGATAGAATAAGATCGCAAAATTGCGTAATCCTACTTCAATATAGTAAATCATCTCTATATAAAGTACTTAAAAGGTTTCCATTCGGTCAAGTGAATATAGCCTTAAGTCGCCCCTACGGAATAACGTAGTCCACGAGGTTCGTTTTTCATCGTATTGAAAATTCCGGGCCATCCGAGTGTTGCAAGTATTGAAAATAACTGAAGTGTCGGGACGAGGTGTTGTTCGAGGAAAAACATTCCATTCAAGAGTGATTTAATCCGAGAATAATGGCAAGAGGGATAATGTTTGAAATGTAAAACATACATTTAAGAATATGAATTTTCGGCTTTAAAGATGACAAACGGAAACGTACAGTTCGAGAAATCCTTTCACTCATAAGATTTTTCTCAGGAACGAAATAATATTCGATGGAATGCGATAGGGGAAACGCCCAAAGTTAAGCGGTCAACTTTAACCTAAATTAGATTTTAATTCAATGAGAAAGAAAACGCACCAAAGAATATAACTCGGGAAAAAATACGCCAAAAGTAACAGGGTTTGTTTATCGAATGATCTAAGTCAGGGCATGGCTAACTCACAGATCAAATCCTGAAACAACCTCTGGGCTGATCTAAGTTAGGGCATGGCTAACTCACAGTTCAAACCCTGAAACAACCTCTRGGCTGATCTAAGTCAGGGCATGGCTAACTCACAGATAGAACCCTCAAACAACCTCTGGGCTGATTTAACTTGGCCGGGGTTTGCTAACTCACAGATAGAACCCTGAAACAACCTCTAGGCTGATCTAAGTCAGGGCATGGCYAACTCACAGATAGAACCCTGAAACAACCTCTAGGCTGGTCTAAGTCAGGGCACGGCTAACTCACAGATAGAACCCTGAAACAACCTCTGGGTTGATCTAAGTCAGGACATGGCTAACTCACAGATCAAATTGGAATTCAGCACGTCAAGTTTTGCGGAGATACAAAAACTGGAGAACCGCGGATTCGACCAAAAAAGAGCTTTGATTCATTTTTCCTTTCATTTATTTTCTATAAAAGTGCGCAATGTATATACATAYAGCTTTAGTTATATACAAAGAATGTTGTATAAATAAAATAGAAATATATGATACAAAATACATATAAATATATAAGTGTTTGACGGCGACCAAAAGAATCGCAGCCTCTGGGATACTTCATCCCTTTTTCGCTTCCACTTGTCGAACGGGCGACTCTAATTTTTCACCAGTTTGCTGTAAATACAACATTTTATGTTGAATCTTAACAATTTTGGCTTGAAATCTTAATATTCTTTCTTGTAGTCTCAGAATCTGTTGAGTAGTTTCAGGATTTGTTTGGTGATTCAAGTCTACAGTTTTCGCAGTTCTAACGAATGGATGCTCGATCTGAATCGCGACCGGCCGAAGTGGATCCGAGACTCTTCCGGATGCAGCCGAAGCCACCCGGATTTCATTCGGTTCTTCTAGAATCGGTGAGCTACGTCCCATTGGTAGGTCGATGTGCATCGCATCAGCTCGGGTAGTTTCCGGACCAAATGTTGACTCATTAATGTCTCTAGTGTGATGTTCACCTTTATGAATAGTTATTTCGGACTGCCCGAGCTCTTTCCGAGTTTTCACCGAAGGACTCTCGGAAACCGCTCGGGTAGCTAAATCTGATTCGGAAGCCGTATTTTTGGAAGGACTATTACGTCGTTTCAGTTCGTTAGCTAAACCAGTTTGCCTTACAAATGGTTCATTGATTGTCGCAGATTTTCTACGCTCTTGAATATCTTTCAAGTCCTTTTTTAACTGGTGCACGCTGGGCCTTCGTGCTGTAGGCCTTCGAGGTGGCTCGGGCTCCAGTCCTAAAACGTCCYCCCAGGTCCGTTTTATCAAGGGGGCTACAAGTGTCCAAATATACACCAGGCAGCATATAAAACTAGCAGACATCTGGACCCAAACCGCTGACCAGTTTTTGATGAGCTTCTTGAAGTCCTCCGCTTCGTCTGGGCTATGCCAGTTCGTAATCACCATCATTAAGTGCAACGACGCTAAGAATAACATAAAATGAAATATAGAATAACTATACGCTATGTCTTCATTTTCTTCTTGATCCTCTTYGTCATATTGTTTTCTATTACTCGTATTTTCTTTTTTACTTTTTCTTCTATTTACTTGTCGGCTTTTTCGAAGATACTCGGGGTTATCCGACAAAGCTAGTCCGAGTTTTCCAAGTTGTGACGTGCTCGCGCGGACAGTACAAGCGAACGTCAACAACGCGAATGTCAAAACGGAGCCAAAAACAGCCTGTCCATTCACCCCTGAGGCTTTATCATACTCGAGTATTACATCCCCCAGGGGATTGCACATGCTATCTGGCTGACTAGACAATGTGTTCCAGGTCAGATACATTGTATATATTGTCACAACTGAAGACTGTAGAAGACCAGCTCCGTTTGCCTCTTGTTGTATCTGAGGTAGAATAGAAATTATGGTGGCTAAAGCGCAATGAGCGACGTTAAAACTGATGTAAAAGGTATTCGCCTTGCACTGGGATATATCGACGGGATTGGTGAAATAGATGTAAAGTACTGCGGCTGCGCAAAGCGAGAGTGCGTAGACTATAGCAGTWGCAAATGCAAGCGCAAAGAACCAACATTTTGTATTTAAAACGTCCATTTTCTCAGCCCAACTTGCGCTCCATGAGTACCCAAAATCAATGATAAAAACGACTTGTAAAAGAAGGAACATAAACCCGCCGGTTAATCCAACATACATCCAAATCATCCCAAATTGAGAGAAGTTTGGAATATTAAAGGCAGCAATAAAGAGAAGCGTTAATATAGAAAGCTTGATGTACCAAAATCCGTTATGCAAACGCGCTCGGAATTGTTTTGTCGAGGTGACGTCGTAGGTGAGGATACTGAAGGTGAAAAAGAACACCGACATCACGAAGAAGACCCGATAGGCTGYCGAATACCCGACCAAGTTGTCGCACATTTTCGGCGAGGAGATGGTATCACATAGGTACGGGATGCTATCTAAGTGTTTTCTCATATCTGGTACTAGCATGATAAAGCTCATGACGTTAGCAAGGCCTAAAAACAACAGAAATATTAGCTTGGAGCGGGCTCCCTGTGTATTACTTCCCTTTCTCTTGCACAGAAGACCGCAGGCCGCTGAGCCAGCACAGCAAGCGATTTCACTCGCTACTTCCSCTAAACCAAGCGTCTGTAGGGCTGCTCCCATAGAAACCCATATAGACCATTAGTCACGTGACCAACACTAGACCAATGTTGACRGACGTGGCCCAAATTTGGCCAATCTCTTTCAAAAACTTTCGCAAAAAATCTTCGGTATTGCTGGAAAATAAGTCGATATAACAATTACAAAACCCTGTTATTTTTCTTCTGTTTCTAAATTCGTAGTTTTCTTTCCAAACTGAAAAATGTTCCAATAACTTTCCTATTCTTTGTTGTTCAAAAATATGCGCTTTCACATTTAAACCATAGAGTCACAAAGTTGCCAACGCGCTCGTATATCGTAGGAATTAAAATACGAGAAATTTTATGGAAACCGTTGTTTAAAAATCTGGGGAATCCAGATTTTTCTGCAAGTATGAGCCAATTCTGCTGCCAGTCAAATTGAACTGAAACCCAAATTCTTCGCTTTAAAGTCCTTGAATTTAGTAGAGATTGTTAAGTCTTTCGCCACCAAAAAGTTGATTGCTAACGGTGTTTCGAGCGAATACAATTCGTACGATGATCTTCAACCTTTTGTTTACAATGGAGAAATCTTCGACTTTCTTTGGTTTCTAGCATTGAGAAATACCGTATATTATCGAGAGTGCTGTCCAAGAAGTAGTTAATCAATTTAAACCACCTCGATAATTCTGTTTTTGATTGTGAAAGCAAATTCTTACTACACAAGAAGATTTCACAGAACGTCAACTTCATTCACGGATGACTTATCCAAGACTTGAGCTCRTGGAATGGTTGATTCTTGCAACCACTTGCCTTCAATGCAAGACGCTCCAGACTTCAGTAAAGTTTGAGGGGTCTTTGGAAAACAATTTTGAAGATTTCTGTGGTTGTAATCCGGTGTTTTAGTCTGTCAGCACTTGTAAAAAGACATTTCACGGCCAACACCTTCGAGTTCAAATCACTCACACAATCCAAAACAAGTCCTGTTACCAAACCTAAAAGAATTTCCTCGGCTTCTAGGAGATGTTTTTGCTTTTCAAATCAAATTCCAAGCTTTTGTCGTCAACAAAACAAATCTTAGGCTTCCAGCAAAGAATGAAGCATTTCTTGTAAGGAATATCGGCGATTTTTGGAGCAAAAATGGCGGGATATTTCGAGTCGTGATTTGTCGTTTTTTTGTTGATATTACGTCAAGGTAGCAACAGGTACCATGTGTCGTGGTTGACTGATTCAGTAAATTATGACATCCGGGTGTGGCCTTTACCCGTATTTACGAATGCGTTACTATGGTAACCAATTGTGAAAACATTGCGATAACAGTATGTGATTCGGTACCAGTTCATACGGCCAACATAACCACAGGAGACCCAGATTTATTCTAAAAAAAWCCTTTAACAAAATATGAAGTCGACATGAAAATAATTTCTTTTCATTTTTAGTCTCAAACTGTTCGAAAGTCACATTTCTAGCGAAAATCTAAATGTCTTTCGAAAATAAAATGGGAAGGAAGCAAGGAAAGGAGAAATAATGGATGGAACGCAGGAAGGCGAAAAGAAAAAGTGAATGGAAAGATAGAACGAGGGAAGTAGAGGAAGGAAGGAAGAATGCAAAGAAGGGATAATAGAAGGAAGGACATAAAAATAAAAGGAAGGAAAGAAGGATCGAAAGAAGGAAGGAAGAAAGAATAGAAGAATAGAAGGAAGGAAAGAAGGAAGGAATCAGGAAACCGAGGAATAACAATTACAAATGTATTAAGTTGAATACCAAATATAAAACTAAATGAATAAAAATATTATTTTTTATCAAATATTAAGAAACGTGTAACAAGTTTAATCTGACAGAGGGATCAAATTTTATTCAAACAGCCTTGAAAAATGTTTACATTACCTTTTTATGCGTTAATATGTTATCTTATATAATTTTATATTCTATCCGATATTCACTAATACATTACATATTCTGTCCTAAATATTACCTTTTTATACTACTATATTATTTGATATAATTTTGTATATTCATGGGACACGAGTGAAAAACGTCTGCGCATCATCGTCTGCGCGAAACATCTTCTTGACGTCATTATTTCGCGATCTCTTTATTGAATATATCGGCAACGAAAAGAGATATAAAAAAGAAAGTAAGCTTATTATTTTAGCTAAATAACTTGACACTTTTAATAAAGTTTATCTATCTATAAGGACTTTGAAATCAGGAAGAGATCCTGTAGGCTTGATAGCCACTTCAAACAAAACCTTTATACCAAAAAATACATCATATGCCCATTTCTATAAAATTAAGACCAAGTCATTCGAATGACGTCATTGACTCTTCTCCTGCTGGCGTGACAATGTTTGATTTATCGGAAAAAGGAGTTTACTAGAGTGCAAACAATTAATCCGTGAAACACTAATTACTTAATATTACAAAATAGTGCTAATTAAACAATATAAAACAATGAAATTTGTATGAAATTGTGCTATTTAGTATTACTAAAGTTTCACGGATTTACTGTGGTCACTATCAAATTTGTCATATCGCATAATAGTAAATTTGCAAGAATTTTGTAAAGATTGCCCTAAAAATGACGAAGATATAATTTTTCAAACCCCCCCTCCCCTTTTTTACTGGTAAACATTTTTCCGATACCCCCCCCCCCTCTTCCATACATTATGAACGCAGCTAAAACAGGCTAGGAAACACTAGTACTAGCAGGAATGGACTTCTTGCGACTCCACTCACCCCACCCACAAAACTTGAATTCATGACATTCTAATAATTACAAATATTGTGGATCTCAAAAATACAATAAATATCTGTGCGTGTCATAAGTGAATGTTTTGCTCTGAACCAATCACAAGGCAGAAACTCAAKSCATCCAATCWMGTGCTAGAATACACTTAACAARACTTTTAAATGGCTTCCGCCCTGAACCAATCAAGTGCTAGACTTACAAATGGSTTTCGCTCTGAACCAATCCAATCATCCAATCAGCCATCCAATCAAGAGCTAGAATACACTCCATGGATTCTACTTCTCAGCCAATGAAAAGACACGTAAAATCTAGTCTTTTTTTTTTTTCCTTTCTTTTTAAAAAAAAAAGGATTATTTAATTACCAGCAGTTTTTTTCCAGCACGAAGATAAGAGCTTGGCTGTTCTTTCTGGTTCAACTTGATTCTCTTCTCRCTCACATTCTTGCATTTTTTTGGTGTTGGATTTAAATCAGGAATTTTGTAACCAACACTTATGAGATCGTGGAGCCATGCCTCGGTAAGGAGAGCATCCTTCACCCCCCAGAATTTGTTTTCCACCATAGCAATACTCAAGTCCATGATACGGCTGAAAAAATCCTTTTTGTCAGACTTCCAGTTAATGAGGAACTTAACCAGCCGACCAGCGTCGTGATAGAGATCTTTCTCGTCRATGAAGTCATCAAGGTAATTATGCGCACTTCGAACTTGAACAGCATTTGGMGGGAAAAACGACAAATACCCTCCAATCTCCCATAGCAACCGTTGTGCATAGTAACCTCGCCAAATGTCGCAGACACGAAAGGCAGTCGTTATGGGCAACAAGGTCGCCCATAATCCTTCGTAAAGAAAAAATGTATTCTGGGAATTGAAGGGTGCCATTGTTCCAGGGGGGAGTAAGACTGCAGGGGCGTTGGCGTCAAATTTAACATCAAGACGAACGCCTTTATCCTTACGGGTGAGTCTATAAATAGCATCGACATCTGGGTCCCCATCTACTACCCCYTGCTGTATTGCGGTTTGTACACCCCGGCACTTATCAAATATATGATGGGTGGGGTCTGCGATGTTCTCAAGTGGGTACCCACGGGGCCAAAWAGTACTCTGCCCAAAATGAGAATACGGATTGACTGCATTTGCATCTGTGTTGTACACCAGAAAATCCCCAGAATCCTTTTCGAAGAAAGTGATTTTCCCAGATGTTGGGTGGTTGTCGTCGTCAGTGTCATAAATTTGTTTCGCCCCATGTTGTATCGCATAGAGGTAGCCAATGTTTTTACGGGCGTAACTCTTGTAAGGAATCAGATTGACTATTTGATAGCCAAGCTTTTTCTGATCTTCCACACTTARAAACACACAATTGGGATGGCTAGAAAATTTTAAAAATTAAAAAAAATTAATC